TCCGTGGAAGAACAGGCTCCGCTCTCTCCAGCCTACACGTCCAAAGCAGGCTCTGGGTGCTGCCCGCCCCACGCCTCCCCCTTCCTCTCTGCGGCCCCCTGTTATTTCTGCACCTTTCTCCACCCCCCGTAGCTCACCACGGCCGGGTCTCCCCTGCCCGCTGGCACAACACTTGCCTCGCACTTGTAGAAGCGGTAGACGATGCCGCTCAGGGCACAGCAGACGTATCCCTCAGCAGCATTGGGGTCGTGGAGGAATTTAACGCAGAGGGGCAGAGAGTCCTCGCCCAGGTCAAAGCACTGGATGAGAGTGTGGCAGGGCAAGGTCCCCACATTCAGTCGGCGCCCAAAGATCCCTGAGGAGAAGGAAAACCAGGTCAGGAGAGAGGGGGCTGCCCGTGAGACGCATCCCCCCCCAAAATGCTCACAGACAGGGACAGCCATGGCAGCCTCCAGCTAGGGGCGGCAGAGAAACTGCCGTGATTTGGGGAGCAGTGGGAGAAGAGGCACCAGCCTGTCTTAAGGGCAGATGCTGCACGTCCTGCAGCAGCTCCCACCGCCTCGGTGAGTTCTGGCTCAGCACTTGCACCCCTGTTCCCTCACCTTTCCCAAAGTCGTCCGGATCAAATCCATACCCCGCACATTTTGGGACTAAGCCGGCAGAGCTGACCAGAACGTTGTGGCATGGCTGGTACCAGAAGTCGTACCCCGTGGGGGGGACCTCACACACGTTTTCCCAGTTCCCCTTCAGCTCAAAGGTCTCTCCATCCAGCACAATAAAGCCACCTGTGAACAAGAAGGGGCCACGTGACAAATCCCACACTGCGCTTCCCAACAGGTAACGTGCTTTGTGCATCAGCCCAGCTGAGACAGCCAGGGTCTTCCCAATACTTTATGCCTTCCGATACCGAGCTGCAAAGGCTGCACAGCTCTCTGCTGGGTACGGATGTGCTTATAGGTCCCTGTACCTGCTAAGCAGGAGTTCTGGGGACCAGAAATGATCCCAGGCTAATATTCACTTGACTGCTTCCAGCGGCCAAGCTACCCGTGCTGGCAGTGCTCGCCCCACCTCCCCGCTCTCACGCAGTCGGGGCATCAAGCCATGCTAGGACACGCCAAGACACGTAGGCTGAGAGCCTGAACCCGCGGAAGGGACCGGCTTTTCCTCTAGCACGTATCTCCGTGTCCATGCTCTGCACCTCAGGCTCCTGGGGGATCGCTGTGCTTATGCCGGCACAGGAGGATTGGGACTTCTGAGCAAGTATCTCAAGCTGGCTGCTTGAAACTCTCCAAGTCTGCAGTTTTGAAGCCCGGTATTTTTCTCAGAGGAATGGTTACTGGAATGACTATGGGAAAACGCACCTTTTCCATTGCCAGCTGGGTCTCCCATGTTGGAAATCAGTATGTCACCATTAGGCAGGCTGTGAACCACACCGAGGTATCCCTTGTTGCACTTCCAGAAGACTTCCACGGGCTCAATCATCTGGAAAAAGGCGACACACGTGTGCTTCAGCCTCCCACTGCTCAGCTCAGCTCAGCTCACACTCCCCGGCAGAGCCTTTGGCCATCGGAGACTTCTGACAATCTCTGGCGCTTGCAGGAGCTTTCTGCCCAAGACCTCGCCCTTGCTAGGCCCCACTCCTCCTTGGGGACGAGCTCAGAAGCCTCCGAGCTCCCCTCTACGCAGACAACGGGAACGCAGCACCGCCTCACTCGTAACAGCTTGCATGGCTGTGGTGTGACTCCACTTATTAGACTCTCTCGGGAAGCAACAGGCACAGAGAAAGGATCACGATGATGATCGGAGCCGTCCTTGGCCCGCAAAGGAGAGAGCCGTGAGGGAAACGTGACCCAGCTCTCTAAATCCAGGGTGGAAGAGAAGGTGAAGAGAGAACCCTTCTTCCCTGGGTATTAGTCCAGAAGTACCAGTTCCCAACTCCTTCCCAGAAACTTGTCTTTGAACCCCCTCAGGCATACCTTACACAGCCTGGGAGCCCGGCACTGTGAAACCACATCCACCACGTAAATGCGGGAAGAAATCAAACAGGGAAGAATCAGCTTGCTCCTTTTCACTGTGATATTGTCAAAGCAGGTACAGCCAGCGCTCCAGCCCGAGGAATGCAGCTCGTCTTTGAGGTTGGGCATGGGCAGGCGGTGGATCACCTAGGCAGTCAAGGTAGAGGTAGGTTCACTCAGGGAGGCAGGGAGAAGCAGGGACCCTAATGCTGGCAGATTCTTCTGTCCTGGAACCCTCATTTGCATTTGACTGTAGCTGGGACTGCCTCTAGACACTCAGGGGGAAGAACACTGCTCCCTGCACTGCCCGTGCCCCTTGTTAGGGTACTCCGTGCAGCTGAGAAATGTGGAGATTCTTATAAGAATTCCTCACCCCATGCCACTAAAATTCAGAAAATCATGTATATGAAGCAATTACAATTACCAGCTTGGCAAAACCGGTGCATTGCTCTGCAAAATCCTTCTAAGAATGGAGTTCAAAAATGTGTTAAAAACTTTCAGAAGCCTACATTCGCTCTAAAGTGCATTTTCTTCCAAGCTCTTACAGCAGTGGACTGATCAGGTCCTACATACACCCTTGATGCAGAGAACCTGACTTTGCAGCCTTCAGAGACAGGTAAACGCCGATTCCCCGTGCCGGATGACAGCAGGCGGGCTGGCACAGTGCGTAGCAGAACCCCTCTGCCCTCGCAGCACCACAGAAACATGCTGACCTCAGCAGAAGTGCTGGACGCCCTAAACCACCTGGGACCTAGAGACCACTTTCCACGCTGAGCAGCCCCTGACAGGGTGATTCAGAGCATGCGCTCACAAGCTCACCAGCAGCACCGAGATGCTCTGGAAGTGAGTTGGGAAGTGAGTCCGAGCCAGCTTGTCCCCGGGACACAGAGATGGAGGTGATTCACCGAGAGCCAGGCGTACAGAGGGCAGTGGAAAGAGAGCAGACACCATCCCTATCTTGTGCATAACACCAGCGGAGAAGCAAGCAGTAGATCTGCCATGACAAAGCTCACAGGGGGTTTCCCAGACAGGTCTTGGCAGGACATGAACAGGCAAAGGGGCAAAAGTCAAGACGGGAAGATGCAGGGAGACAAGAAGGTGCAAGGCATAGGCAGCCTGCATGACAGAGCAATCCAAATTTGGCCACCAAAAAAGAGTAATCTCCTGATTCTGGGGGCACCATAAAGCACAGAGCCAGCAGCTGACCAACAGCCCAGTAAAAGCACAGTCAAGACACAGGTACCTGGCCATAACATGGAGATCTGGGGTCGAGATCAATGGTGGCCAGGAAGTCAGGCTGGTCGATGCACATTGACCGGTAGGTACAGGTCACATAGGCGATCTCCTCTCTCGGAACTGGGTATACAGAAAGCTCGTGTTAAAACCCGCCATGAACCAGGCAGGAAGGAAAGGAAAAGCTCCCACAGACTCTCAGATAGGACTGAGCTTATTT